ATGAATGATTTTATTTGCATGGCATCTTCAGGATTCTTTCATCTCAGTCCTGAAACAGCATCTTGATGACTCTGTGTAAAACTGAAGATGCCCCTGCTGTTATGTTTCTACACCATGATGTGTTGAACAAGACGTCTTTCTGTCCATCCATCCTCAGCTTTATATGCACATCTTAGATAAATGAGCTGGTCAGTTGGTCCTTTCTCAACATCCACAATGATTCCCAGTTTTTCTCTTTGGCCTATCAAGGTGGGAGTTGGCTCTGCCTTTGCTAGCAGCCATATGCTATAGTAGCAACAGCCATGTTGCCGAATCCAGACATTTTTTTTTCTGCATAGTCTTCATAGAGATGGAAGATCTGGAGGTTCTTATGTTCACACCGGTCTCATTTTACAATTATAGAAGCTAAGTGTTATTGAGTTTATCACAGTTGTTGTGTTGTCTTCACCTTTTGAATTTGTCCGAATTATTCTGTGCATTCTTTACCATCTACAGCTCGTTCCTTCTCCTTGACAGCTCTGTCCACAGCACCAAATGATGGAGTTACTCTTTGGGTGGGAATACAGGATCAATAGGGTTGTCATTTAAAGAGCTGGTTAGTTGAGATGCTTTTTGCAAGTCACACCTTTGGTTATTGAGTTACCAATGTGCGAAAGCGTGAAATTTGAGCAAGGGGATGCTCTACTTTTGGCACTGATACAGCATGCTTTCCTTTACCATCTGAGATTCCATTTTACTAGCAGCGTTACCACTGGCGTTGTCCGATCTCTTTTCTCATTTTCTAACACTTGGATATATGAAATAATGACCTCGTGTCGTGATGACAGGGTGGGTATTATGGAGCTCAATCTACTTTTATTTCACACGTGCAGATTGTAGATATCTTATTTCTTTCTTTTTCTGTGGTTTTGTTTCTTCATTTCATTAGGCTTTATGTTGTTTCAGTATGTGTCTTGAAGGACTGATACTGGGGCCTCCATGTGGCTGATATCTTTCCAAGTCTGGGTGCTATCAGGGCTTTGACTCTCACAATGCCTTTCCACTCCCCACTTTTCTTCCTGAATTCACACAGAATTTTGCTCCTAATTCACACATAGTGAGTCAAAGACTCGTTGTTTCAGATGGGTTGCAACTGCAGAACGTGTTGAAATGTTTTTACTGTGAGCAGGGAAGCGTTTGCGCTTTGGCTGCCACTTTACAGCTTGTTCCATGTCCTTGTCCACCCCAATCTACAGCAGCAAATGAACCGCCTCACTCGTCGGATGGGACTGTGGGGATACTGCTTGTTACCTTTGAAAGTTCATTTGTTGAAGCAATTTTCATGAGTCTGGTTTTGATACAGTGAAAGTTGATCCAAACTTTATTTTCCTGTTGGAGGTAGCAGTTGAATTTTATTATCAGCATTGCTGTTGCTCTTCTACATTCATTGTTTCCTAAGCGTTGGATGGATGAAAGATCTCTATAAAGACTCCGATGAAAGACTCTGTAAAGTGGAGATACAGGAGTTTGCTTTACTTCTATTTACATGTATAGACCATAAGAGTCTGGTTCTTTCTGATATCCTCTAAAGATGGGAAGATCTCTTAAGACTGCAGGATTGCCTCTTAATGATTCCGTGTATAACGTAGCTGCTTCTCCTTTATTCTGTTCAGAAGGTTTCTGCTGATGCATCATGATGTGTTAAGCAAGGAAATGTCTTTCTATCCTTCTGTGCTTTGATTTTTGTGCAAGAGTTCAAGAAATAGGCTGGGCAGCTGGTCCTTATGTGATGCCTGCCTGTTGTGAAGGTGAAATGCAATCGTCTTCAGTCATAACAGCTGTGTCTGTGAATGGCTTTGGTGTGATGTGTGGGAAAGGCTTGTGGAGGAAAAAGAGGATGTGGCTTTACTGATCCCTAGTCTTTTACCTTTGACCTATGAAAGTGGAGTTGGGGGTCTTTGCTGTGTCTTTGCTAACTGAAGTATTCTGTGGCAACAGCTGTTTTACAGGTTCTTCCCCTCAATTTCTTGTCGCATAACATCTGGACAGATCTAAAAAGGATGTTTCTTCAGTAATAATAATGTCCACCACTGCTGTAGGTTTTGGCTTGTTCATTTCCAAGGTCTGAAAGTGGACCTCAATGTGGCTGAAAACCTCTTAAAGATTGTAATATCACTTATGGATGTGGAAAAGAGGGAGCCATTTCCACACGTGCCTTGAATCTTTACAGCTGTCAAGCAACACTTTGCTACCCTTATCTTCCAGTGAAATGTCACTGAATGAAGTGCTCTTGCTGGTGGCTGACATAGAGCCAAATGCTGCATAGCTCTGATGGTGAAAGCAAAGGCTGTGCATCCTGATTGGAGAGTGAAATGGTGATGTAGAGCCTGGGAAATGGCTGGGTCAGCCTGATTTTGTCAGGGCAGTGGTTTAATTTCACACCTGGTGCCAGCGTCTGTGCCACTGATGCAGTGGCACTGGTGTCCTGTTGTTGGAGACAACCTGAGTCCTCTGAGAATGGAGCTTTTGCACAAAGCCCTGTACGTGGAAAGATGCTTCCTAGGTAGAATGGTTTGTAATTCCTGTGTGAAACCTCACTTATCCATCCTTGCAATCTTGTGATGTAGTTTCTTCGTATTCATCTGTACATACACAGGCATTTATTTCATGCAAAGGTGTCCCATTAACAGCCGCTGCTTTTACATTTGGAAGTGAAGCATGGTTGGAAGTCACTTGACTCGATCTCATTCAGCTGGCGACAGAATTTTGTATATGGGGAAAAAAGAAAGGTCAAGGTCAAAGGAAATGACTCTCAGGTTCTCAGAAGCATTTAATTCAGAGAGAGGCCCTTGGTAAGGAGCTTAACTTACAGTTCCTTTAGTTCTGTGTGCCTTACACTTTGCACTGCTGGCAGGGTTGGATGTGTTGCCAATAGCACATGTGCTTGATGTGTAGTATGAGACTTAACAGAACTTTAATGACCCCATGTTTATATTTTGCCTTCGTTGTTCTCAGTGTCTAAACTGGGCCTCAGTGTAGCAGAGAAGACTGTGATGTATGTTCTTAACTGTAGGACTGATGGAGCTGTTTCCATTGCTGTTCTTCACTTTCTTTTCTTATTTCACTATAGAGATGGAAGAGTTTCCTTTACTTTGGTTTTATCTCCATAGACCATAGGTGTCCCAGCTCCTTTTGACTTTTTTTTTGTTTTTATGATGTGCATCTAGTCTCATAACCTGAAAATGGTTCGTTAGGCTTCATTTTGTTGTTGCCATTTACGTTTTCGAGAAATGATGCTGGGGCCTCTATTGATGCTCAAATACAGGAAGTTCTCTTGTCATTTTAGGCCTGGGTGAGCAGTGTGCATACCTACCTGACTGTTTACAGCTGTGAATACTTCTGTGTGCTGATGTTTCTGAGGAAACAGCACTGAATGAAGTGCTCTTGCTGTGACGAATGGCCAAAAAACTGGACAGTGACTGAATGCTCAACAAGGAGGGCTGGAGGCTGGTGTTGAACTTGGAGAACAGGTTGGATGATGTGGTTTGGGCTGGGCGATGGTTTGATTTCATACTTCAGTGTTGACCTACCAGGGGTGGAGCTGGACGTATCTCCGCTAACAAACACATGTGTTTGTTATAGCAGCAGCCATGTTACAGGTTTACCAGTTTTGTTTATTTCTTGGAGTCCTTGGACATACACATGGTTGACAGGCTGAAGAGTTATAAGGCATTTGAAAGGGTTTGTTGTGGTTAATTTTTAGTCACAGCTAGGTGTTAACCTTCAATTTATCATAGATGTTAGATCAGATTTTCCTTTTTGTCTTGTCCAAACTTCCTCGGCGACCTTTTGGTATGGTCCATGTTTTGAGTTCTTGGAGGTTCCTCCTGTGCTTTGGCTGTCTACTAGCAATCTTTATTACCCTTGCATGCACCTAGTGATGTAATCTGCAAATGAAACTGATTCCTTCACGTGTGTTGGATTAAGGATGTTTGTTGTTTATTGTCACTGTCTGAAGATGGTCCTCAGTGTGGCTGATAACCCTTCAGAGCTTAGAAGATCTGTTGCAACTGGAGGTCTTGAGGAAGACTTCTACAGGAAGATATGCCTTGAATGGTTACAGCTGTCAAAACAGACTTTGATATACTTGATAGACTTTGATATACTTCGATATACTCTGATATACTTGAGTTTCCTAAAAAGTCATTAGATGTTCATGCTGAGTGATGACATGCGACCAAGAACTGTGGCCACAAGTTGTCCACTGTGTCAATTCTGTGAATGCAGAGAAATGAGGGTGTGCATCTGGCTTTGAATCTGAAAAATATGTGGGTCTACAGGAGGATTGTTGGAATAATGGTTTAATTTGATCTGAACAAAGGCCTGTCCTGTTCAGACTGTTATCTTCATTTCTCTGACCTGAAGGAAATGCTAGTAAGTTATTGGTGTTAAAATCTGCATGTAGAATGATGTTACCAATGGCTAGGATGCCTTAAAATTCCATCATGGAATCTCATTCATTTAGCTGTATCTCCATGTAACATGGTGATGTTGAGCTTCCCTCTTTAAGTTTCCAGGTCTTTTTCTTCCCAGGTAGGTTTTGCTTTATATTCCCATTTCTGGACAGCGCTTTTGCATTTTGAACTGCTTGTGTCATTTTGCTACAAATCCTTACTTCACGAGGCCTCGAGAACCTGAAGACAGAATTTGATGTTAAGAAAATGAAGCAGAAATTCAAACTGAATACCTCATGTTTTCTCATAAAATTCATCTTGAGAAAGCATCCCATATGAACTCCTTTACATTCTCAGAGATGAGCAGGACACATACTGAAGAAATTGATGAGAGCCAATGAATTTTGTTAAAATGACCTTGCTTGCAGCTGGAGACCTCAGTAACTTCCAGGTGTTGAGTTTCAAGTGTCTGAATTAAAACCGTGTTCGTGGGTCAGAGATGCAAGGGTTGCTTCCTTCATTTAACTGTCATTGTTTTGGATGAATATAAGGCAGTATTTGAAACGAACAGGAAGATGTTTGTGCTGGTGCCTGCTTTGGGAAGCTCTTCTTCTAGGCACTTGGGTGAACTGCTCTGCACACAGTGTGTTCCTGAGCCAGTTGACCCAGTTTCAAGATCCGAGTGGAGGAAGAGGGTGGAAGAGTGAGATTACTTGTTGGTAAATGTGGAAATCCATGATACTTGTGTCATGTGTGCGCCGTCTGACCTTGGTGGTGACTCACCATTGAGCTCTTCCAAATCTACTTACCTGTACCACGAGTAGGTTTGAAAAACTGTATGTTTGAAGACTAAATCTGGTGGTTGTAGATCCTATAGGCCCTTTCTCAGGCCTTGAAAGCGACGCAAGTGTTAGGAATCAGGTCAAGGGATTTCCTATTTCACTCAGATGTCTTGATTGAAAATTAGAGGTGGCAAACATTACAAGATTTTGGGGATTCCTTTGCACATCTCTCCCATTTTCCTCAGTCTCCACATCCTCAGGGAGCAGTCAGGAATGGCATCCAAAAAGCCAGAGGTTTGCAGTAGGGCTGTGTCCTCATCAGAATAGTCCAGTAATGGGTTAGATCTTTGGAGAGGGGGTCTAAACCCCAGAGCTATGAAGCAGCATGGTATAATTTGTTTGCATGACTGTGTTGGAGAGAAACAGGAGATTCAGGAGTGAAAAAGCTGCAGAGTATTGCCTGTTTCCTCTAGGCAGTGTTACAGACTGAGTGGCAAAGCATGGTGAGATACTCTTAGAATAGAGAGTTCATCATCTGCACTTCCACTGCCACCTTACAGCTCATTCCATCTCCTTGTCTCCTCCTCCATGTAGTAGCATGAGATCTGTTGATCGTAAGGGCTGAAAATTGATGCTGGTGGTGGATGAGGTCTGCAGTAGCACTCATTATGGGTTAGAAAGTTTTCTTTACAATTTTGTTCTCATTACCAGGCAGTGAGCTGATCTTATGGCCTTATGGCCTCTGAATGCAGTGCTTGCTGGCAGGATAAATCCACCTACACGCTGACCTTGGTGCAGCTTCAATCTGCTGGGGTTCTTTGTGTGTGTGTCTCTCCAAAGGGAGCAGGTTGTAGCTATTTCTTCTTGAAAATGGTCCTGTTTGTGAGAAAGTGACAGCGTCATTGCGACTGTTCTGTGAAAGGAGGATTGCTGTGCAGTTTCCTGGTGGGAGCCACAGTGGAATAAGCTTGAAGGAGAAACCGAGTCCTGCATATCAGACCTTTGCATCTTGTAAGGGAATGGTGAGAGCTGCTTCCTTGTAAGACACGGGTCAGGAAATGAAGTATTGCTAGCACCTGTGAATGAGCCCCTGGTCACTGATGGAGTCATCTTTCAGAGCAGTCAGAGCACAAGCAAAATCCACTGTGTTTGTAGTTTCCAAACTCACTGTCTCAAGCTTGTGCTAATTCATATGGCCATATGAAATCCACAGTCATGAACCAAGGTTTGTTGGTTTTCTGAGTCTTCCATTCCGTGATTTCATCTGAGAGATGATGCTGTTGCAGAAATAGGTACCAAGGAAGATAACGTTGCCTTCATGGGAGTTTTATGCTTTCTATTTTCAGACCATCCCATTCCTGGCATGTGAATTATGTGTCACAGTTCCGGTGTCACTGATAAGCACTGTTCTCTAGAGTTGCTCTGCTTCAAAGCCTTTCTGAGCCCCCATCTTGTGCCTTTTTTGTCATCTTCTTACCCATGAGCCGTCAGCTGTGCTTGGAAAGCTGTGTTGCATATGCCTCAGGCATCATCATAGGTAACACAATTGCTTCTCTTTACGATTCTCAAAACAGCATGCTGGTAATGGAACTGCCCCAGGGATAGCAGGCATGTGGGTATATTTTCACTGTTCCTGCATCAATTTGCTTACCTTTCTCAAGAGAAGCAGTTTTGAAGAGCAGATGGAGCAGGGCTGTGTTCAGCCTGTTACAGCAGGGAGCTGTGATGGTCCCCCTGACTTGTAGAAGTGGAAGCATGCACTGATACTGCTGTCTTAGTGAGTGAAGTTTGCTCTGTTCTCCCAGAATTTCAGTCATTCTGAGATACGACAGGAAAGAGGAGCTCCTCAAAGACAGTGGTGTTCAAGGTGGATCGGGTGCTTGCTTCCTACAGCAGCTTTTCTTCGGAGGTACTTTGTTACCATTGCTGGTTAGAGTCATAGAAACAGAATGAAAGAGCTGGGAGAAGACAATCCGCAAGCACTCGCAGAAGCTCCGGGAAGATGTCGGCTAATTGCTGTGCAGTGTATCTGTTCTTACCTGTGCTCACCTGTGCTCTGATGCGCAGCCGTTTGTCCAGTAACGCGTTTCCCCGCCGGGCGCTCCGCTTCCACGGCAGGGCCGAGTTGTCCGCTTCGCCTCTCCCGGTGCCCGGGAGGAGCAGCGCTGCCGCCTGGCGGGCAGCTGCCGTCAGAGCGGGGAGCGGAGCTTCGGACGGCTGCGGTGGCACCGCGGGGCCTCCGGGTGCCGCTGTTGGCCGCCGCTGCCGCCGCTTCCCGTCCCCGCTGGCTGCTCGCTCGCACGGCTCATCTCACAGCGGACAGAAGAGACTCGGCGACCGAGCCGGAGCCCGCATCGCTGCGTTCCGACCTCTTTCGGAGCTCGGGACGGACGGAACTCAGCTGGAAGCGCTGCGGGAGGAGGAAGGAGAGCGGCGAGCGCTGCTTCCAATGGCGGGCGGGCGGCGAAGGAGACTCTGGAGAGCGGGAGAGGGGCTGCTGCCCGCTTTGCTGCTGTGCTGCTGCTGCTGTCGGGCGGCGCCGGAGCGGCTCCGCTACGCTATTCCCGAGGAGCTGAGCAGAGGCTCGCTGGTGGGGCCGCTGGCGCGGGACCTGGGGCTGAGCCCGGCCGAGCTGCCGGCGCGTCAGCTGCGGCTCAGCTCGGAAAAGCGCTACTTCGCCGTGAACGGGGAGAACGGGAACCTGTACGTGAGCGAGAGGCTGGACCGGGAGGAGCTGTGCGGCGAGTCGGCGTCCTGTGCCGTCAGCTTCGAGGCGGTGGTGCAGAACCCGCTCAACGTCTTCCATGTCGAAGTGGCCATCCACGATGTTAACGACAACGCTCCGCGCTTCATGCGAGACAGCATTCAGCTGGAGATCAACGAGTTCACTCCTCCCGGTGCCCGCTTTGCCGTAGGGGTCGCCGAAGATCCGGACGTGGGCTCGAACTCGCTTCAGGGCTATGAGTTGGAGGACAACGAGTATTTTGCGCTGGAGGTGAAGCAGAGCGAGGAAGGCAGCAAGTTCGCGGAGCTGGTGCTGCGCCGGGCGCTCGACCGGGAGCGCGAGCAAAGCCTGCGCCTGGTGCTGACGGCACTGGACGGCGGTGATCCTCCCCGGAGCGGCACCGCCCAGCTCCTCATCAACGTCACCGACGCCAACGACAACGCGCCTGTGTTCGCGCAGGAGCAGTACCGGGTGAGCCTGCGCGAGGACGCACCGCCGGGCTCCGTGGTGCTGCACGTCTCAGCTTCAGACGGCGATGAGGGCACCAACGCCCGCATCACGTACGGCTTTGGGGAAATGCCATTCAAAGTGCTGCAGAAGTTCGCGGTGAACGCCGAGAACGGGACGGTAACGCTGCGGGAGGAGCTGGATTTCGAGGACACGCGAGGCTACACGGTGCTGGTGGAGGCGCGGGACGGGGGCGGGCTGGTGGCTCACTGCAAAGTGCAGCTGGAGGTGCTGGACGTGAACGACAACGCGCCCGAGGTGACGCTGACGTCGGTGTCGAGCCCGGTGCCCGAGGACGCACCGCCCGGTACCGTCGTGGCGCTGCTGAAAGTGCGGGACCGGGACTCCGGCGAGAACGGGCGGGTGCGGTGCGAGCTGTCTGGAGAGGCGCCACTGCAGATCGTGGCATCGTCCGGCGGCTCCTACAAAGTGGTGACGACGGGCGCGCTGGACCGGGAGCGGGCGTCCGAGCACCGGGTGACGGTGATCGCCACGGATGGGGGCAGCCCGGCGCTGTCGAGCCGCGCGGATCTGGCGCTGGAGGTGTCGGACGTGAACGACAACGCGCCGGTGTTCGAGGAGGCCGCCTACAGCGCCTACGTGCCCGAGAACAACGCGGCCGGAGAGCCGGTGCTGCGCGTGAGCGCGCGGGACGCGGACGCGGGCGCCAACGGGCGCGTGAGCTACGCGCTGGCGGGCGGCGGCGCGGACGCGGCGTTCGTGTCGGTGCGGGCGGAGACGGGCGAGCTGTACGCGCAGCGCTCCTTCGACTACGAGCGGTGCCGCGAGTTCGCCGTGGAGGTGCGGGCGCGGGACGGCGGGACGCCGGCGCGCAGCGCGACGGCGACGGTGCGCGTCTTCGTGCTGGACCGCAACGACAACGCGCCGCGGGTGCTGTGGCCGGCGGCGGGCGGGGCGGAGGGCGGCGGCGCGGGCGCGGCGCCGTTCGAGGTGGTGCCGCGCTCGGCCGAGGCCGGCTACCTGGTGGCCAAGGTGGTGGCGGTGGACGCGGACGCGGGGCGCAACGCGTGGCTGTCGTACGAGCTGCTGCGGGCGCCGGAGCCGGCGCTGTTCTGCGTGGAGGCGCGCAGCGGCGAGGTGCGCACGGCGCGGGCCGTGTCGGAGCGGGACGCGGCCAAGCAGCGGCTGGTGGCCGTGGTGAAGGACCACGGGCAGCCGGCGCTGTCGGCCACGGCCACGCTGCACGTGGTGCTGGCCGAGAGCGTGCGGGACGCGCTGCCGGAGCTGGGCGAGCAGAACGCTGAGTCCGAGTTGGCTTCTGATCTGAACCTCATTCTCGTGGTAGCTCTCGCTTTGGTGTCCTCGCTATTCGTTTTCACTGTCATTTTGGTCGTGTTCTTTAAATGCCGACGCGCCAGGAGCCCCCCCATCTTTCTGACTTCTGATAAGGAGCTCTACTCCAGCCTGGGCCCCAAAGCACCCTTCAACTACTGCAGCAGCACGCTGCCCCTGCCCTATGCCTACGAGGTGTGCCTGGCCTCCGAGTCGGGCCAGAAGGACTTCACGTTTCTCAAACCCGGGGCAGCAGCCCTCTCTGACCTTCTTTTGGCGGGGGAAGCCGGTGCAGGTGGTCACTCCGAAAAGGACCCTCCCGACCCTGACAGCTCGTCACAGGTGAGCTGCTCCCTCATGTCCCTCTCTGCGGGTTTCTGCTGTTTCTCTCCTTCCTCACTCGAGCTGTCTTACTCTGTATGTGAGTTTCAGCGAGTTGGGTACTGGGGTGGGGTCCTGAGGAGGAGCGATGGCACAAAGGTCCTGGGGTCCAATTGGGATTCCCAATGGGTGAACTATCTTCTCCAGTGCCACATTTTGCTGTTCCTTTTCTTTCCAAGTGGTGCTTTCAGGAGCTCTGAGGATGTCTCTGTCAATAGCCTGGTGTTCTGTCATGGTGAAGTTGATGTAATGTCTGTAGATCAGACAAAATGTGGGAGATGGAAATGTTGCATCTTCAGTGCCCTTCTTGAGTAGGGACATATCCCGGCTGTACTCAGCTGATTACTGCTGGGAACAGGCACTTTGAATTTAGCTCAGATGTACTAAACTTCTTGTAAAATGTGATGTGCTTGTTAGATAAATCGCTCAGTAAGAGCTTAGACTTGAGAGTATTAGGAAAGAGGCGGTGGCTGGAGGAAAAAAAGATTTGGAGCTTATTTCGTAGTTTATTAGTGAAGCGGCTGAAGACTATTTCAAGGTTTAGCTTCAGAACGGCTGTGGATTTTCTTCTCTTCGGATTATATGTAAGAAGGAAAGGTAACTGGAATTTGCTCGTGTAAGGGCTCGTGAAACAAGAGCTCTGCTTTCAGCGCTGTGAGCCTGCAGAGCCTGCAGGTAGAGGCGCTCCGGAGCACAGAGAAGCAAAACCATTCGGACTGAAGCGCGCGGTGCAGCTGCAGTGGGTAAAGCAGGACGTTTTCCTTGGGAATCATCATGAATTCTGCTTCAGAATTCGGTTTTTTTAAAGCAATGATGACTAGCATTGAATTTTATTGACTTGAGGCGCGTACTTTTGTCACGTTCTTGGGCTGGTGATAAGCACGTGCTGGTAGTGATACAGGGACAACGATTCCTGACAGTGACTTCTTAGGTAGGAAACTGAGCCGATCTGTTTGATGTTGCTTGCATTCCGTGCTCCTGGCTGCACCTCGGCGGTTAATAGGAGGGTGCGGGGTGAGAAAGCGTAACCAGAGGCGATATCCCCACCGGGTGTCGCATCTCCCACGTTGGTGAGGGCGATTTGCAGCCGCTCACGTTAAGCTGCGGGATGGCAGACCATCAGCTTCAGCTCTTCGGAGCAATTTGCTCCGGATCCGTGCAGTTTCCATCAATGAACGGGCGTGGGCGCTAATTTCAAGTCCGACCGTTCGTTATCGGCTGTGGGAGGAGCTGCCGCAGCCTGATTTTCACGCTCCCGTTTCAAGCTCCTTTTTTTTTTTCGCTTTCTCATTCCTGTTTCGTGGGTGACAGCGTTCCAACACTGTAGTACTTTGAATCCGTTTGCGCGCTCGAAGCGTCGGAAAAAAAATCTCAGTATAAGGAGGTGGTGTGATGACAGCAGACAGGGAGCTCGGGAAACGGCTGCTCTCGGTGCCGGCGGCCGGGGGGCTCCACATGGGACAGGGAAAGGTTGTTCCGAGGGCCGGGGTGGGGTGGGAGCTGTCTGCGTCCGAGGGGAACGGGCGGCGAGATGGAGGGTGGCGAGGAGGGAGGGAGTGCACGGCTGAGAACGCTACGGGTTGTTCCCGGGACAGTGGTGGCGATGGGGAGAGGGGCCAGGGCGTTGCTCCTGGATTGTCACTTGTTAGGCGACGCTGCTTTGCTGGCACCCAGCGGTGCGCCGTCGTGACGCTGTGGGACAGTAGGCAAGAAGCGGACTGCTGGAATGACCGGGATCCGCGGGGTCCCGAGGGCTGTTCACTCTGCCTACACGCACACACCTCGTCCCGCCCCCTCCACCGCCCCCTCTCGCTCTGCTGCCCGTCTCCAACGAGATACTTTTTTTCTCGGGACGCACTCCTGTGTTTCCCAGCCGCCCTTTCTGGCCGCTTCCGCTCCGTTAACTCGCACCGCCGGACTTTCCCCGTGCGTGGGGACGGGATGAGCGCTCACTGAGCCGGGCCTCCCGCGGGGGCGGGCGGGCAGCAGCTCTCTGAGCCCTGCGCTCCGTGCAGTTATTGGCCGGGACTCTATGTGCCGCTGTCGACCAATGCTGGAGCGGGAGATCGGGCGGCCCGGCCCCGCTCGGAGCCGGGATGAGGCACTGAGAGGCTGAGAGCGAGCCGGCCAGTGAGTCAGAGCCGTGCCGCCGAGCGATGCCCGTCTCTCCGCCGCACGCCGCTTCCCAGAGCGCTGGGCAGCGGCATGAAGGGGCAAGCTGAGGATTTCTAGGGGGAAGAGGCGGGGAGCGATGAAAGGCGTCGCTGCGAGGAGCCGCGGGGTGACGCCGGGGCAGGTACTGAGCCTCTGCCTCCTGCTCGCCGCTTCCTCCGGGGCTTCCGCCGCCATTCGCTATGCCATCCCCGAGGAGGCGCGGAGAGGATCGGCCGTGGGCAACGTGGCAGCCGACCTGGCGCTGGACCCGGCGCGGCTGTCGGGGCGGCGGCCGCGGGTTGTGTCCGGCGGTAGCAAGAAGTACTTCGCGGTGGATGCGGCGAGCGGTTCGCTGCTGGTGAGCGAGCGGATAGACCGCGAGGAGCTGTGCGGAGCGCTCTCCCCGTGCACCCTCAGCTTTGAGATCGTGCTGGAGAAACCTCTGGAGCTGTACAGCGGCGCCGTGGAGATCCAGGACATCAATGACAACGACCCGGTTTTTCCCAGCAGCCAGGCGAGGCTGGAAATCAGCGAGTCGGTGGCGGCCGGGACGCGCTTCCCGCTAGAGAGCGCGCAAGATCCCGATGTGGGAATTAACTCTTTGCAGACCTATCAGCTCAGCGCCAACCCGCACTTCGTGCTGGACGTGCAGACGAGGGTGGACGGAAGCAAGTACGCGGAACTGGTGTTAGAGAAGGAACTGGACAGGGAGGAGCAACGGGAGCTGCACTTGGTCTTGACGGCGCTGGATGGAGGCAGCCCACCACGGTCGGCCCACGTGCAGATCCACATTGACGTGGTGGACTCCAACGACAACGTCCCAGTCTTCAACCAGTCCACCTATAAGGCGAGCGTGAGGGAGAACACGCCCAGCGGCACCCTGGTCACCAAAGTGAGCGCCTATGACCTGGATGATGGGCCCAATGGAGACATCATCTACTCCTTCAGCAGCCACACGCCAGCCAAGGTACGAGAGCTCTTCACTCTGGACTCGGATACTGGGGAGCTGAGGGTCAAGGGCCAGCTGGACTATGAGGAAACAAAGCTGTATGAGATTTACTTACAGGCTAAAGATAAGGGTGCCGTTCCTGGCGTTGCCAACTGCAAAGTGCTGGTGGAAGTCGTGGATGTGAATGATAATGCTCCAGAGGTGACGGTGACTTCGGTGTACAGCCCTGTGCCTGAAGATGCAGCCCCGGGGACAGTTGTAGCTCTGCTGAGTGTAACAGACTTGGACTCTCGAGACAACGGTCTGGTGAACTGTTTTATTCCCCCTGGGATCCCATTCACGC